TTATATATTTCAAGCTATCTGCCGCCGCTCTGATATTCTGCTACAAAGGGTTGATGGGACTTAGGGAAGGGAACAATGGAGCTTTCTGGGAAAAGCAGAGTAAATCAAGAAAGTCTGTGACTTCCGCACATTCTGAAGGGATTGCGGTTTACATAAATTTTCTCCCAATTGGAGATTGAGCTCTTCCTCATCTTACACATGGGATTTAGTTGTCACTCAATGGTAACAGCTGTGAAAAGGTGAAGCGGCCCACCGCTCAGAATATTGCCTCTGCTTTTAAAGCAATTAACCCATGAACAGGAGGATACCTGGTGATATCAAAGGGATTAAGCCAGGCAGTGCATTATTAACATTTCCTTGAACTAATTCTAACTCTGACTAGCTGTCAGAAAAGACTCTTCAGTCTTAAAAAAAAAACACAACCAACGCGGGTGCTGGGTTGGGGTTTTTTTTTTTGCCCTGCTTTTTTTTCTCCCCTGCTTTTTTTTTTCTCTCCCCCCCTCCCCCTTCAAAACCAAGCAGTTATTGCAGCATCATGTGCCCGCTTTAGAGCACAATGCAAATGAGCAGATTTGGTGATGTCTTCAAACAGAGTGAACTCGGCGCCAGTTTATTACAGGGATGAAGGGGGGAAAAGAAAAGGTAAAAAAAAATATTGATCCATTAGCCAGAGGTCACAGTAGATATTCTTCTAAAAGCAAATTAATACTCGAGTACCTTCCTTTCTTCTCTCCCTCCTCAAACTTCTCACTACTTGTTACTAAGCCCAGCTGCTTTTGAAACAGCCAAGCTCTTCACGCTGTGCTACAAGGGTGATCATCTACGATAATCTGTAATCTGGAAAAATTCACACACACCCTGGAAGGAGACTCCTCCTTCCCCTAAGTCAAATATTTTGATGTCCTGTGATGGTCGAGGTGGCACCGGCATACCAGGCAGTATCAGTCCTCTCTCATCCCTCTGTCTCCTCCAAACCATGCCCCAAAAACAGGAGTCAAACTGCCTGGGGGGTGACTCCTGCTCCAGCAAACTCAGGGACATGGATTATTTCCCCACCTGTCATAGCTGACAACTTTTCCCAGCATCAATTAGTTTTAGGGGAGCATCAGCCATGAGGTCCTTCTGGGGAGAATCATGAAGGTGACCCATCCTCCTGATGCTCCAAGACACTTGGATCCTTCTCAGGGACTTCCCCACAAGAGCTGCAGGAGGCACTGGAGCAAGAAACCTCAGGGTGGTCAGGATGGTCAAGAGCCATTTCCAAAACACCTTGATGATTTCAAAACAATAATTTGATTCTTTAATTAAACAACATGCCTACCACTCCTTTCTGTTGGCAGTGGGAGGAAAGCTGCCTTCAGCTTTCATACACACCCACAATGTTTTGTTTGGAAGATTTAGGGGACAGGGAATATACATATGTATATATAAAAAAATATATATATATTAGTCCAAACTTAATTTGATACACAGAACAGCAAACCAAAGAAATGTGAACAATTTAATTTAATGCAACATTTCCTTCCTTTTCAAAAACCCCTGTGCAAATCAGCCAGAATAAAGCTGGCAAAAACTTACCAGAAGTACTTGGGCAATGACACCTTCTACTCTGCTCCTGCCCCTGTAATAAATTAGCTTTGCATATTTAGATAGAGACAAACAGCCAAGCTATGAAAGGTATACACCGAAAAAAAATAAATGCACTGAAAGCAGGGGAAAGCATCCTGCTTCTCTTTTTCAACAGAGAATGCAAAGAACACAGCCTCTGTGCAGAAAATGACACTCTGGCAATCATATTATGAGAAGATAATTGGTTTGCTTTGTAAACTTGCTTCGCCTCCCACAGTAAAACAAACAAATAGTTGTTTAAAGAAACAATCCTATAGCCGCACTCGCTGCCTCCTAAAAACAGAAAGCTGCTCCCCCCTCTTTCAAAGCAGAGATGAATTTATTTGCTTCAGTTACAAGCAGTCCGAGAAAACTCTTTGTAAATGCCATTTTATGATAATTACAAGCAATTTATCAAGAGTGTGGAGGAGGAGGGAAAAAAAAGCACCCAGTCTCAGAACTGATTGAAATGAAGAAACTGCTCGTTTGGTGCTAGTCTGGATTTCCGACAAAAGGGGGTTTTGCACTGATGTGGTTTGACACAACTTTGCTTTGAGAAGCACAATCCAGGCTTAAAAAAATAATATAATTAAATTAACAATATAATGTGATATAGTATGATAGGCTATAATATATCATGCGATAAGATATAATGAAAGGAAACCAGATGCTGGGGTTGCTGCCTATCGATTCCAGCGGTGCCTGCACGAAGCATCCCACCATCCATCACCTGCCAGAGGAGAAATCTGTTCTAGGAATAAATCCAATCCTAATCCCACACATGCTGTAACATCCCAAACAGAGGAAACCACAACTCTTTCCTTAAGCAGTAAAAAAAAAACCAACACAACAACCACCCTGTCCCGACCTGCCAAGGAATAAATTTGGGAAACGCTTCTTAACCAAAAAGAGTCAGTGGGGAAAAAAAGGGAGAGATTTTACTGTAGGGGGATGCTGGGAGGCCCAGAAAAAAAACCCATGAGGGTAAACAGCAACCCTGCCTGGCTGGTGGGGAGAAAAGAAAGGTTTTTAAGGTTAAGTTCAGGTCAGACAACAAATGAAATTGTAACAACCCAACTGACATTGTCTAATGTCTTCTTCCACTTGATCAATAGGGCAGCATCAGCCCCATTACCATAGAGATGGCTTCCTCCCCCCTGAAGGGGGCTATTGTTTGAGGAGAGAGATTTGCCACTTGAACTGTGTTGCTCCCCAAGGATGTGTACTTCATCAATTATTTGTGTTCCCAACATCTCCATATTTTCATATTAACACCTCCATGCGGGTGCTTATTTCTCCTGCCGTACCTGGTCAGGCTCGACCCATCAGCTCATTTTTAATTAAAGCACAAAAATTCTGGGGGGATTTGAGAGACCTGGTTAGTTCCTTTGTGAGCACGGACTAGCCCAGAGTTTTCACACCGATGGTGCCAGTAAACACTTTCTGAAAGTTCATTTTTCCTTTAAAAGTAGATGGCAATAGAAGGAAACGGTTTGTTGTTTTTTGTTTTAATTAATGAACGTCATAAAAAACCAAATCAGTTCTAAGGTGCTTAAACGGAAAAGCCTAACATTGCAATTTGGAAATAAAACTGATCCACAACACCTTACAATTCTTTTCCAAAAAAAATCAATTGCTGCTGGGCTGAGTAATTGATTCTGTCCATGCCTTGTATCTATGAAATAATTTTCTATAAGTCCTAACAATTTCTATCATCACTCAGTTCCCGGTTTTCCGTTCTTTCGTCCAAGTTCTAATTTTGACAGAAGTCACATCTTCCAAATCCAATTAAAAAATAAACAAAATATATTAGACCTCTAGAAATGTAAAGATAATTCCCAAATTTAGCTGGCTATTTCTCTCCTGTATTTTTATTTCTCTAAAGCGACGATGGCATCGTTTCACAGGCACAAAACTGGCACGTAAGGAACTGTCACGTTGGTGTTAAAACTAAAAAGGAGGGCAGATCTTCACAGTAACTGTAATAATGGGAACAGTCACAATTAAAAAAAAAAATCAGAACCCAATATTAAAAACATTTAGTAACTCCTTGAAGGAGTTTTTAATGTAACAAAACCAAATTGTGCTCTGATGCTGTGCCAGGCACTGCACAGGAGGGCAGCCCCACTTCCAGCTCCGCAAATAGGCTGTAAAATACAGGATATTAAATTAAATAATGTTGACTTAATTACACGTATTACCCAATAGTAAAAGCAATCACTTAAATGCCTGTAATATTTAGGAATTACTTAAGCAATTCCAGACGTTGTGCTTAGGAGCTAATGTCCTGTCTGGAAGGTGATGTGCAGAGAAAGATGCAGCCAGACAGAGAGACCCCCCTGGACCCAAGTTTAAGTGAGCTCAGGGCTTTTGGGCTGTGCAGGGTCTTCCCCCTCAATCCCCCTCCCTATTTATTCCTTCTTTTATTTCTGGGTTGCACTCACTCCTTGGGAAGACTTTCCCGAGGAGCGACACGGCTCTGGAAACGGGTGGAAGAGAAAAGGACTTTTGTCAAAAATAACCTCACCCTCTCTCATCCCGAAATGCCCCGATAATAATTCCTGATTTCCCTGCTTGCAGCCTCAAAACGTGCCCTATTTTCCCTGCAAAATAATAATAAAAAAAAAAAAGAACATCAGAAATTGTTTGTACAGGCTGCAATAATCCTCTCAAATATGGGTCAGGCTGAGGTTAAGAGCAGCCAGAACTCGCACATCAAAGCCGAGCGGGGTTAACAAAACCCACCCCCCTCAAGCACGCGCCCATCCCGATTGTTCCCTCTTCTCCCAAGGTTAGAGGTCTGGAGGAGATGGATGGGCTGGGGTCGGGGTGTCCCCCCCTTCCACTCTTTGCAGCCAGGGGGGAAGGCAGCGATGCTCGCCCAGCTCCTGGGGCAGCACCGACCGCCCACCCGCCCGCGCCGGGAGCTGCGATTAAACCAAGTTCACAGTTTCCCCGATAGGTGAAGCTCATCCTGTTAATTTCAACAGACCATCTGCATCTCTCAAGAACGACAAACTTCATTAGTTCTGGTTAGTTAAACAGAGCGCTGATTTGTGATAATGAGCCTGAACAACCTGTAACGTCTGCGTAAGGGGAAGGGCGCGCTTTTATTATCATTATTATCATCACCATCATCATCATCATTATTATTATTAAACAAAAAGAAAGGGAAAAAAAAAAAAGGAGCTTTTGTGCAGGAAAGAAGGTCAAATTCAGATTAAACCACTGTTAGGTTAATCAAAAGAACTAACTACAGCTGGAAAGGGAGGGAGAAAACACTGGACCGAAGGCCAGAGGGGAACAGAGGGAACCTTTGGAAACATCCCGAGCCGGAGCAGGGGGGAAAGCCCTGCCAGCAGCACACGAAGAAAAAACAGCCCAAACTTTACCTGAAAACCGTGTAAAAAAGCAAAGAGGCAGCAGCTGCTCCCACCAAGCTGCAGAGGAGATTGACCCGGCAGGCGGGGGAGCCGAAAGGCAGGAGCCCCGTGGCCAGTTTGGCCAGTAGAGTGAAGAGAGGGTAGCCAGGAGGGTGGGCGACCTAGGGACAGAGCGATATGGGGATGAGAAGGGGTGAGGGGCTGGGAAATGTGATCAGCCCGTGGAATCAAAGGGAGAGCAGCACGCCAGGGTCCAGCAGCAGGAGCTGGGGGGTTCTCCGAGCAGCTCCACTCCCCGACCCTTCCCTTCGGACCCGTGTGAAGCCCCCAACTCCTTTTCCTGAGTGGATTTGGCTCCACGCCTCGCCCCTAACAATGAGGCAGCGAGAAAAGGAGGTGCCACGTTTCATTTGCCTGCCTTAAAGGGCTCCTTGTTTGGGATCACAGTATATTAGGGTCATTCAAAAGGCTACGGCGCTTTTTTTTGGTGGCGTTTTTTTTGTTGTTCTTTTTTAAAAAAAGGAGCTTCTCAACTATTTTATTGGTTAGCAAGTTGAAAGACCACACTGCTATCGGATTACCACCGCGCTGACAGTCCTAAGGTCTTGCCTAAAGGGATCATGCACCATAATAAAGTTTATTAAATAATAAAACTTATTAAAATTGTTAACCCGATTTATTTTATTCTCCCCAGCTTATACAAAATTTGGGTTGATAATAAGCCAGCTACTGTATATACAGTAAAGCCTTTGCTTTATAATTTAGTTTAATTGGATTTAAAACTTGAAGTAAATTGTCGCGTGCTGTACTTATAAGTTAGTAAAAACTGTGGTTTGAAAATAAATTAATCTACTTTACTCCATGCTTAATTAAACTTCCTTAATTCCTAAAACTGTTAATGAGAGCATTGATTAAACAATAAAACTAATACTTACTCCAAGCTCATATGCGGCTGTGATCAGCTCCCCTGTGAAAAAATAATGTAAAACCAATAATTACTATTAGGAAATGACACTCCTCCAAAGTTTTCAAAATCCAAATGCTTGCATTGGGGTTTTGCATTAATTTGACTGGATAAAACTGTAAATCTGTAGAGATTTAACAGCATGAAATTTTCTAAGAATATTTTCTCCCTCTGATGTCATTGCACAAAATATCTTTTGTCTGTTTCTGCGAGACTTTTATGAACAGATAAGCAAAAGTATAGGTAGGGTTGGGTAAAGAGCAGCCAGAGATATTCAAAATGCAGACATTTGGGCACGTGTGTCTTAAATTTAAAACCATTTGACTCAATAACTTCCAAGCACCACAGTTCGCGACGCTTGAGCTGCGCTGCCTCTAAAGCAACCCGGTTGTTTCCCATTAAAAAGAAAAAAAAAGCAAAAACCACAGCTTTCTAGTTTTAAAAAGGGAAAACAGAATCATTGATGGCGCAAATCTGTATCCATGTGTCTGGGAATGCTGCTCTCCCTTGCTGCTAAAGCAATTCTTGCAGCATCTGCTTCACAAGCAACGATTTTACCTGCTGCATCCAGCAGCCGCCCCCCGTTAGAAACACTATTTGGGTTTTGCATTTCATTTGTACTTTACACCAGGACAAATAACCACCAGAAAAAAAGATCCACACTAACAAAATTGTTAATAACACTGGATATTTTTAGAGCACTTGACACTGCAGCATTTTGCAACGCTCCTGAACAGTGTATATTAAATATATTCAATAGGCGCAAGCACGTTCGGGGATGAAGGGCACAACCAAAGGGTGACAAAATGAAAAATTACACCTGGTTTTCCTTCTTTCCTTCAAATTTCTTTATTTGATTTTGTGGAGCCTGGTCTTACTGGTCCTGCTAATTTTTCAAGTGCCAAGGTTATGGTAGTTTTGTCCCATCATTAGATATTAGAGACACAAAACTAAGGGCACAGTTGGCTTCAAATACTCGATTCCCAATATTTTAATTTCTGCACATTATTACTTAGTTATCATCCAACACAAAGGAGATCAATTGTACAAATGGCACCTTTAAATATTAAAATTAAACAGTGTATTTTAAAAGGAAGATACAAGTCAAGCTATTGTTACTGTTTGTCACTGCTGTAAAATCCCAGCTATCGTCCCGTGCCAGCCCAGAGGACAGCCCTGGAGTTCTGGACAAAGGCCCCTTCGAGGGGGATTTTCCACACTTGCAAACACCAGCTATTTTTATAGTTACTCCATTTTAGGAGAGTTTCAACCTATGGCAAGACAGTCTGAAAAAATCAGATGCAATAGGAAAACTGTCCATCCCAAGCTGACCCCTTTAATTTTCAGTAATTCCAGTGTTTAAAGGGCCGGGAAGCATCAGATCCCCTTGCGTGCAGTTTTGGGACCCTCAGGACCAGAAAGACATGGAGGGGCTGAAGTGTGTCCAGAGAAGGAGGAAGCTGGGGAAGGGGCTGGAGCACAAGTGTGAGGAGGAGCAGCTGAGGGAGCTGGGGGTGTCCAGCCTGGAGACAAGGAGGTGAGGGGAGACCTGCTGGCTCTGCAGCTGCTGAGAGGAGGTTGGAGCCAGGGGGGTCGAGCTCTGCTCCCCAGGAACAAGGGACAGAACAGGAGGAAATGGCCTCAAGTTGTGCCAGGGGAGGTTGAGATTGAATAGTGGGAACAATTTCTTCCCCAAAGGGCTGTCAGGCCCTGGCCCAGGCTGCCCAGGGCAGGGGGGGAGTCCCAATCCCTGGAGGGGTTTCAAAGCCCTGTAGATGTGGTGCTGAGGGACATGGGGCAGTGGTGGCCTTGGCAGGGCTGGGTTAATGGTTGGACTAGATCTGAAAGGTCTTTTCCAATCAAAATTCTTCTCTCACCTTAGATCTAATAAAAGAAACCCTAGTGTTCAGCATCCTGGGGGTTCCCTATGCCAGAAGGTGGCTAATGGTGGATGTCCATCACCCATGGCAGGGTGGGGATGCTGCTCCTGAGCCAGGCATGGCTTCACCTTCATTAAAGTCCTCCTGGAGCCACACACGCACCTAAACCAGCTAAAGATGAAGTTCACACACGTTGCCACGATACTGGTTGGTATCATGGGCAAGAATAACCCCCAAGCAACACAGGCACAAGCCAACAAGAAAGCTACAAAATAATTTGATAAAATATTGGTGAATGCCATGAATGCCACTACCAGGCTCAGAAAGCCAAGAGCACAACCTTGCCTTGTAAGAATTCAGATGGAAAATAAGGAAGAAAACCTGCAAAAACAAGCTCCCAGGCTGCAGACCTGTCGAAATCCACTGGGAAAATCAAAAGGAGCACTTAATACACACCTTTTCAGGTCAGGTTAACTCTTCATCTCTCACATACATACCTGGGCATCACCTACAGCCTCTCTGGACTATGGAGGTGAAGACAGAGGCTCCAAAATGGAGATATGGGCTCTAAAAGTGGAGATAGGGGCTCTAAAAGTGCAGAAACACATCAAGGTGGACTCCAGCATCCAGAAACTTGATTTTAATACACTTCTCAAAAGCGAAAACAACCTGTGGCATCTCCAGATGCTGGCTCAAATAGAAGAATTTATTCCTGCATAATTTTAGTGTAAGTACATTTCTGACTGTCTGGCTTGATTCCCCAACAAGGTGCTGAGGCAACAGTCCCAGCACAGCCTGAAAACTGGTTTATCCCCAGCAAGGCTGGGAGCTGAGGTCTGAAACATCAGAGGGAAGGTGTGGGTTTGTTGGGGATTTTGGGGGGTTTTGTTTTGGTTTCTTTCTCTTTTTCTTTTAACTTGAGTTTATTTGATCCTTTTCTAAGCTGTTTTAACCTCTGTGGATGTTTCTGAATTAGCTCTAAAACTCATTCTCTCATTTCTTTATCATAACACTGAGTAACAGGAGGAAGCTGGCAATGAAAATACCTATTGCCTTCCACGTTTTAGGATTACTGCAAACTTTGGGAACAATTAAAAATATATGGATAGCTTAAAAAAAATACTGTAATAATAGGCTCCCTGCCTGAAAGCAGATACAGCAAATCCTTAAGCAACTCTTTACTCACTCAAGTAGCTTCAGTGCTTTTGATGGTGTAAGTTTGAGCCCTGTGCACAGGCACAGGCAAGTTAATCACCTCGAGAGGGGCTGTGCAGAGACCTTCCAGGGGACCCCGGCCAGGTGGCAGCAGTGAAGCATCCCATGGGCTGCTTCAGACCATGATAAAGCAGGAAAGCTACTAAAAAAATCTTAGGACAAGGCAGCAAGGTCATCAGTGGCTGGGACAAGCTTAAGAGGACAGTGGGGACAAGCTCATCTCCAGCAAACACATGCAACTCAGGCAGCAGATTTAGAAGAACATGCAAAAAAACCCCACAACATCAAATAAAATTATAGAATCCCAGACTGGTTTGAGTTGGAAGGGACCTTCAAGATCATCCAGTCCCACCCCCTGCATGGGCAGGGACACCTCCCACCAGCCCAGGCTGCTCCAAGCCCCATCCAACCTGCCCTTCAATACTGCCAGGGATGGGGCAGCCATAGCTTCTCTGGGCAACCTGGGCCAGGGTCTCACCACCCTCCTGGAGGCAAAACCCAAGCTCAAGTACAATTAAAAACCAGGTTCCTGAGGCTTTGCACAGCAAGGACAGCTCAGAGCACAGGCAGACTGTGTACTCATAGATATGTGTTTCCCATCAGGAAGTAATTTAAAAGACAAAATGGTGATAAAAGATAAATGGTGATAAAGGTGATCAATCATCATGTGTTGATTGATGGAACCAGGAGTCAAACCAGCCCTGGTACAAACTTGGGAGCAGCAGCAAAAGCCTTCAAGGTGCAGAACAGCCAGGGCATGCCTGAACACCTTGACAAGAGCACGAGATGCAAGCTCTGTGGAGAAGACATTTAAAAGGAAATTCTTTCAATACAGCTCTGACAACAGGATCCCTCTAATCCTAACATGGGAACAGGGAAAATGGACACCACAAGGTTGCACCGGTGCACATCTACATGCCAAAATCCCTGCTCTGAGAGCCAGGATGAGCTTGATGGAATGAAAACACTGCTCCCTCCTGTTATTTTTAAATCAAATAAGCCTCCCTTCAACCCCCAAATTCACATTTGTGTGGGAAGAGCTACACAGGATACCTGCTGCCTTACACTCAGGGAGACAAAACCATCCTGCTTTGACCACGTGGCACTTCTCACATAGCTCTAAACTAGCAGCAAATTTCAAAGACTCACAGTTAAAACAAGTCTCTCTCTTTCTCTCTACACACACTGAAGCTGTAAAAGACATGTATCCATTAAAAGTCCCCTTATTTGCAGGGGATTCTATGCAGGGTTTGGATTCGAAACCAGTGATGGCCAAGAGGCAGGGAGTTCAACAGGCCCACTCAACACTCTTCTGGGATATGAAAGAAGGAACATAAACAAGGTACCTGATCCACCAAAAAAATGTAACAGAGCAACCCCTAGAAAGCCCCAGCCCCCCTTTTCCCAAACCACAACTACACATATGCTAAAGAAGGAAGGAAGGAGGTTTTTAAGCAAGACCAGCCAAACCACAGAAGGACCAAACAGAGTTTTGTCCCATCTGGTGGGATCAGCAGCACGAAACACAAAACACTGGACAGTTTGTCACTGTGGGCAGGTCACACTTCCAGACAGGCAGATCCTGAGGTCTCAGTGCTGTGCTGGCTGCAGACACACAGGCCAGAGACAGCGATGGCCCAAACACCCATCACAGAGTCATTTTGTTTGAATAGGGCCTTTTTAAGATCATCAGCTCCAACTGTGAACCCAGCACTGCCAAGTCCACCACTAAACCACTAAATTGAAACCTTGGGAGGTCACTGTAAGATAAACTGGTGGGGGGAGAGCATCAGGGCAGCCTGAGGTCCAACCCCAAGGGGTGACCAAGCTGGACAGGCCCCCCCAGGGCGTGGGGCAATGAAGCAGGTTCAGTGTGGCCAGCACCCTGGGATCCCTGGCTCTAGGATGCACACACAATCCAGAACAGGGGGTCAGGGATGCACCAGCCTGGGGGGCACCTGGCCCTGTGGGGAGGCCACAACGCACCAGCCCCTATAGGGTGGACCAGCCTGTAGAGCAAATGCAAAGCACCAGTGCCTATGGGGGGTGCAACCCTGTGGGGTGACAGCAACTCTACGGGGTGACAGCAACACAACAGCCCCTGTGGAGCAACCCTGAGGGGTGACAGCAACCCCACGGGTAGCAGCAACACACCAGCCC